TTAATTAATAATCATTAAAAAAACAGAACTTAAATTCTTAGCCTAAATAAAACGTTTTTTCTATACAAATCGTCCATATTTAAAACCATCCATTTTGATTTTTTAAATTTTGACTTTGGATTCGTAATCAGCGAGCCTAAAAACTTTCGGGTGCTGAGTTTTATCCAAATTGAAAAACGCTTTCGATTTTTGACCAGCTTTTTGGGATTTGGCCCCACTGCAGCACTGTGGGACGGAGCTCGGATAGTATCGCGACTTGAACTCGATATGTCTGTCTCTAAGCGAGGACGATCCAAGAGTGCTCCCGAAATTTCGCTCGATGGCGGAATCAATAGCGCGCCCCATCCTAGGCGTACGCAGCCCCGCGACGCTGGCTGCGTTCGGGAAGCGCGCTATTAGCGCTATTGCATCATTCTATCTTTATCGCTCATCAGGTGTAAAACAAGGATAAAATAAGCAAATGGCACTAATAGCGTTTTCCCGAACGCACCTGCTATAGCGCGGACCAGTGAGGAGTGAGCTCGCAGGCTCGCGGTGGATTCTCGCGCAGGACCGTTAATACCGGTTTTTCGCAAGGCGCCTAATAGCCCTTCGCTCGCGCGGCGATTTTTCGGGATCCTTCCCAGCAGCGGACGGGACGTGATTGCCGCCGCGTTCCTCTTTTTCGGTCCGGGAATGGTGGCCAACCATCCCGGAATCCGGTCAGTAGTGTGAGAAGGGCAGGTGAGCTTATCCTGCCCCGGTGTTCCGGGGCCCTGCTGTTACGGGTCTGCCCGCTGCTGTTTCACGTGCCGCGCGCGTGTCTTCCTGCGCTCCTTCGCTCTCGGCGGCCCGCGAGTTGTCGCTTCAGTCCGCTTTCCGTCGTCCGATTTCTCGCCTCTGTCCTTTCCGTCGACTCCGCATCCCGCTATCCTCTGCATCTTCTCAGGAGACTCCGGGTCTCGGCGCGGTGAGGCGCCACGCAATGATATAAAAAGAAAATTAAGAGATCAGAATAACGCAACGCGATTATAATATGCCCCTGGAGATCTCGCATCGACTCATTGAACCGTCCTCGGGCGTGAAAAAGTCGCGAAACCCGCGTCTTGTGACGGCGGCGGGGCGCTGCAACGATGCAGCGAAACTGCAACGTCACAGTATGTATATATATGTAGAAAACATATACATATTATACGGCGTGTGTTACACGATGTGTATGTTGTAGATATGCATAGCAATCAAGGTGGTGATTGAATTTCTTACCGTGGAAGAAGTGAGTTCCAATGGCTGCATTCAGCGGAGAAAGCAGCTCAATGAACGCTCAATGATTCTTTATTATGATTAGTTTCCTGGATCCAGGGAAGAACTAAAGGCAAAGACCAATCATGTTAAAGAATTACCAAGCGCTTACTGAGTTACTTTTTCTGCTAAATGCAACCATTGAAATTTATTCACATCTCAGAAATGTTTGTAATGACATAATTTCTGAAATGCGAATGGATTTTAATAGGACTCAATTTTTCCATGGTAAGAAATTTAATCACCGTCCTTGTTTCCTACGCATATTTGAAACACACCAGTTTGAACTGCTCGTGTGACATATTCACGTAACTGATCACAACGCCATTCAACATAGTGCAACGAGACTTCAAGTAACAACTTAGTGAAACGCAAACTTTCTATGGCACCAGATTCGCAAGAAAAAAATTAGGAAGCATTACTTTCGTATTATTAGGTAAAATTATTTGTATAATAGTATTATAAGTAATGCCAAATTATGTAAAACAGAAATTCTTTGTTCTTTATGTGGAATTTCTGTATAAATTATACCAACTCTAATAACTTTTTGAAAGTATCGGCATTTCTTTTGTTTTAAGTTTTAATCTCTTTTTTAACGTTTTTTCACGATTTTTTTCTGTAGGTACCAATTTAAAGTTAAAAACTCAGGAACACATTTCTATCATTCTCATATATCGGTGCATATGTTGGACGGACAGTATGGATCTCTTATCGTACGTGATCCGCCAAGCTTGAATCCTCAGAAAGCTTTGTATGATATGGATCTTCCACAACATGTTGTTGTTATCAGTGATTTGTTCCATGAATTAGCATTGGAGCGTTTTCCTGGTCGATATAGAAGCAATGTAGGACAAGTTCCAGATAACTTTTTAATCAATGGGAGAGGTAATTGGACGGTAAGAAAAATGTAAATTTATTAAAGATGACAGTGTAAAAATTCAAGAGCTATAAGATATTTTTACAGAATTATTTAGGTAAAAGAAGATGTTAAAAAAATTCGATTTTTGACCTTTCTGTAGAACTTTAATTCACCGTAATTGTTGTTTACGGCCCACATGAACAATAAAAATAAGTGAATTACCTGATTTTATTCCGGCAATACCAACATTTTGGATCGGCCATCTCTAATCTGCCATATTAGATTATTTTATTTATTTAATGGATTCGTAATCAGCATGTCTGAAAAAGCCTCCTCAGACTCATTTTGATAAAATATTTTGATGTAATCCTTCGTACAAAATTATATGTCAAGGGCGTCATTTTTTATTCATCATATCCACATTTTACCATTTAGATAATAGATTTGTGATTAGAGACTTCAAAAACCTTTTGATACCAATTATAATAAAAAAAACCTTTGCAATACATCCGATTTATGAAAAATTTTAGCGTGGTATCCAAATATTTGGCTTTCACAAGGAAACTCGATGTAACATCAATGTTCCCCGCATTTCTGGGATATAAGACTGTTTTTTCTTGTTCATGTGGGTCCCAAACAATTTTTTACGGTGAACTAAATTTCCGCAGGGGAACCAAAAATCGAACTTTTTTAACATCCTCCTTTAATTTAATATGGTCATATATGATTATATAAAATATATGTTTAAGTAAGTTTCAGAAAATTGTTATATATTTTCAAATGTTATTTTTTAAGTGTGCTACTTTATTATAAAAGTGGATTCCACGATACAACTGATATAAAAATTGTGCTGCTCCATAGCGCGAGACAGTATCGTGTCTTTTGATACCGTTCTTATAACACTGTTTGTTAAATTTTAAATACGAGAAACAGATCCCATCGAATGCCATCTATCGGATATTTTGAGATGCAATATTTGATCTGATCATATGTAATCTTATATGACTATATAAGTTCATATATGATTATATTATTTTCAGTTTAAATTATAAGATATGTTTGCAAAATAATACGATTAATATGTATATTTATTTATAAGAACTATAATATATATTATATAACAGTTTTTTTCACGAATCACTATAGGTAATTTCACTGTTTACGAAAATCTCTATATATATAAAAATAAATATATGTTTGTATGTTTGTCCGCTATGCAAATCTACAGTTTTCAACCGAATCTTAAAGAATTATATATGAAACAGGGGTAGAATTTTCCGGGGAGTGCTATAGAGTGTATAGTATTTCGTTACCGATATTTTTGGGACCCGGTATCCAAAATTTTTCCAATTTTTCGGGAGTGGTGTCGATGGGTTTAATTTTTTATTAATAGACCAATTTTCTAAAAAAAAATGTATGAATGCTTTTCCGTTATGCAAATGTACAGTTTTCAACCAAATCTTAAAGAATTATATATGAAACAGGGGTAGAATTTTTTGAGGATGGCAATGATGTGTATTATTTTTTGTTACCAATTTTCAAACCGAATCTTAAAAAATTATTTTTGAAAATCGGTTCCGAAATTTTTCGGGAAATATACATAATTTTTATGGTTCCTTTTTTCAAAAAAAGATTTATTTTTCACAAAAATGTTATTTTGGAAAATTGGTTTTGAGAAACCGGCTCCAAAATTTTTCTAATGTCTGTCTGTCTGACCGCGAACTACTTATTTATTAATGGGCTGATTTTCTGGAAACCGGTACCAAAATTTGTCTAATTTTTCGGGGATAGTGTCGATGAAGAATAAATTAATATAAAAAAATAAAAATAAAAAAAGGGCTTCCATACAAAATTGTCTAAAAAAGGTTCCTTTTTAAAAAAAAATTGTTTGGGAGTAAATATTATTATTCGAGGAAAAAAAATTGTCTACTGTCTAATAAATTAGCTTATAGAGGGTTTTGGGAAGAGGTCGAAGTGAGGGTCGAAAAAAGTCTGCTGAGGAAGAATGTTTATTAGCATTTGTTGCGTTTAAAATTTGATGATCAATTTAATTTGTGATATTATTATTCTACTCTCACAGTTTTCAAATTAGTACAACTAAATTTGGTATACTATCTCATGATACTCTAACTTGGACCGTAGAGGGTATTGAGAAGGGGTCGAAGCGAAGGAAAAAGGTCTGCTGGGAAAGAATGTTTATTAGCACCAGTTGCGTTTAGAATTTGATGATCAATTTAATTTGTTATATTATTCTACTCTCACAGTTTTCAAATTAGAACAACTGTTATATTATCTCATGATACTCTAATTTAGACCGTAGAGATTTTTGGGAAGGAGTCTGAGCTCGGGGACAAAGGGCTCCCTTATAAAATTGTCTAAAAAAAGTCCCTTTTTGAAAAAATGTTTTTAAGGTAAATATTTCCATTCGGGAAAAAAAGGAAGTTTTTGAGCTTGTGCGAAACGCGAACGAAAAAACTAGTATTTAATAAAAATTAATGTCAATTAAAAAAAATTAAGTATCTTATGCAAAATTAGATAAAAAACTTAAAACAACATAAGCAATACGCTAGAGGGAGAAGTGAACCGTAGAGTAGGAGGAAATGAACGAAGAGGAAGAAAGTGGGATAGAGGTAAAGAAAGCGATAGATAAAGTGAAGGAAAAGGATAGAGGTAGAAGAGGGAATACGGGGAGCACGGGTAGCAACTTTAAAAGAGTTATGGAAAAAAAAAGAGAGAATTTAGATAAGAGTGGGGGGGGGGAAAGAAGGATGATATTATTTGTAAGAGAAGTAACAAGACGGCAAGATCCCCTAAAAAAGATTCGGAGACAGGTGTGAAGGAGTTGAGGGAGATAATTGGAGAAATGAGAGAGGACTTCAGGGCCATGAGGAAAGAGCTAAGGGAGGGCTTCAAGGAGCAGGGTAGGAGGATGAGAGAAGAGATAGAGGAACTAAGAAGAGAGTTAGGGGATCAGGAGAAGAGATGGAGAGAGGAGAGGGAAGAGATGAAAAAGCAGAAGGAGAAAGTAGAAGAAAGGTTAAAAAGATTGGAGGAGAAAATAGAAGAGAGAAAGGAGGAGAAAAAGGAGGAGGTAAGAAACGGAAAAGAAAAGGTGAAGGAGAGAATGAAAGAGCTGGAGAGAAGGCTGGAAAGGAAAGAGAAAGAGGAGAGAAGAAGAAATATAGTGATAAGGGGGCTGGAAGTAAGAAAAAGAGGGAGGAGGGAGGAGGCAGAAAAGTTATTGAAAGAAATAGGAGCTAAGATAAAGGCAATAGAGGTGAAGAGAATAGGAGGAGATGCAGAAAAAGGAAGGGAAATGGTGCTGATAAAACTGGAGAACGAAAAACAAAAGTGGGAGGTGATGGAGAAAAAGAAGAGTCTGAGGGGTAGAAAGAAGAGAATCATGGAGGATTTGACATGGGAGGAAAGAAGGGTGAATTGGAAATTGCGAGAGATAGCGAGAAGGGAGCAAAGAGAGGGAAAGGGGGCGTGGATTAAAGCAGGGAGAATAGGATGAAAAGGGAAATATAACAAAGGAGAGCGGGGGAGAGAGGGAGGAAGGAAGAAGTGACGTTGAAGAGAGAGAAGTAAGGATGGAGGAGGGGGAATAAGAAGGAACGAGGATATAGGGGAGGAGATGGAGAGTAGCAATACGGAAGTCAGAGGAGACGAGGAGGGGGGGAGAAGGAAGAATTGGAGGATAGTGTTCTGGAATGTAGCAGGGTTGGAAAATAAAGATAGGGAGTTTTGGAAAGGGCTAAAAAAAGAAGATGTGACAGTCCTAACAGAGACATGGATAGGAGAAAAGGGCTAGGAAAGAATAAAGGGAAGATTACCAAGAGGGTACGAATGGGGAGTGCAATGGGCGAAGAGGACGAACAAAAAAGGGAGAGCGATAATGGGAATAAGAAAAGGGTTAAAAGAGAAGGGAACGGAAATTGAAATCGATAGGGAGGGGTTGGTACCGGGTAAGGTTAGGATAGGGGGTGAGAACTGGAGTATTATAGGGGTTTATACAAAGAAGGAGGGAATAGAAGAGACCCTGCGGAGTTGGGATACATAATGGAAAGAAAAATGGAAGAAAAGTTTACGATAATTGAAGGAGATTTTAATGCGAGGACTAGACAGGAAGGTGGGAGTATAGAGGAAGAGGAGGGGGAAGGCAGAAGGAGGGGAGAAGAAAATCGAAGGATAAGAAAATGGATAGAGAGGGGAAGTTGATAGTAAATTGCTTGGAGGAGAGAGGATGGGAAATATTCAATGGGAATGTAAGAGGAGACAAGGAGGGGGAATTTACTTTCACGAGAGGAAGAGGAGATACGGTGATTGACTATGTTATAGGGGAGGGAGAAGTAAGAGAGAAGATCGAGAGCATGACGGTGAGGGATAGAGTGGACTCAGACCACCATTCCTTGGAAATGGTTTTAAGAAGGGGGAACGAGGAGAAAAAGAGGAAGAGGGTGAAAAAAAAGCAACAGGAGAGTGTGGAATGAGAAAGGAGTAAAGGTGTTCATAGAAAAAATTGGGAAAGTAGAGGAAAAAGAGGAGTTAAATAAGGAATGAAAAGAAATGGAAACAAGAATAGTAAAGGCAATAAAAAAAGGTGTAAAAGGAGCTGAAGGGAAGTAGGAAGGAGAAGGTGGGTGGTGGGATTGCAGAGAAGCAAAGAAAGAGGCGAGAAGAAAATTGAGGGAATGAAGAAAGGAAAGAGAAGGCAATGCATACAAAGAAAAAAGGAAAGAGTTTATGGAATTATGTAAAAGGAAGAAGAAAGAAGAAAATCTGAGATAGGAGAGAAAAGCGGAGGAAGCGAAGAGGGAGGCGGAGGTATGGGAGATAGTAAATAGGGAGAGAAGAAAAAGGAGGGAAATTGAGGAAGGGATAGAAAAGGAAGAATGGAAAGAGCACTTTATAGGAGAAGTGGAGGGGAGGGTGAGGAGGGGAAAGGAAGATGGGGAGGAGGAAAAAGAAGGAGAGGAGGAGATTAGCTTAAAAGAAATGAGAAAGGTAAAAAAAAACTAAAGGACGGAAAAGCAATGGGAAAAGATGGGATACCAAGCGAGGTGTGGAAGCACGGGGGGAGTAAGTTGGAGAATTGGGCATGGAAGTTTATCAACAGGATTTGGAAGGGAGGAGGATGGCCGGAAAATTGGAAGGAAGGAATAATTGCGCCGATAGTAAAGAAAGGAGAAGGAAAAAAGGAAGAGGAGTATAGAAAAGTGACAATAACTGATAGCATGTTTCGTGGATCTTAAGGCGGCGTTTGACTCGGTGGATAAAGGGGTACTGATAAAAGTTATGAGAGAAAGGGGAATAAGAGAAGCACTGGTGAGAAGGACGGAGAAGATTCTAAAGGAGACGAAAAGTAGGGTAAGGGGGGGAAACGAAATGGGAGAAATGTTCTGGACGGGGAGAGGGGTAAGGCAGGGGTGCCTGTTGAGCCCGTTGCTGTTCAACGTTATGCTAGCGAACATGGAAAAGGAAATGGAGAGAGTTAAATGGGGAGGATAATGCTAGAAGGTAAAAGGGTGTGTACGTTGGCGTATGCCGCTGATGTAGTGCTAATCGCAGGGGATGAGGATCAAATGAGGAGCATGTTGGAAAGATTGGAAGGGTACTTAGGTAGAAAAAGATTGGAGTTGAATGTGGAGAAAACAAAAATAATGAGGTTTAGGAAAGGAGGGGGAAGGGACAGTAAGAGAAGATGGAGATGGGAAGGAAAAAAAATAGGAGAAGTAAGGAAATTTCGGTATTTAGGTTATGTGTTTCAAAGGAACGGAGGACAGGAAGCGCAGGTAATGGAAAGGATCAAGAAAGCGGCCGCGGTGATGGGTAAGGTTTGGGAGATAGGGAAGAGGAGATTTGGAAAAGACTGGGGAAAAAGATTATGGTTATTTGATAGACTGGTGTGGACGGTTATGGGAGCAGAAATATGGGGATGGAAAGAAAGAGAGGGAAGAAATGGAAAGGTTGGAAGAAAGGTATATCAGATGGGTTTTGGGAGTAGATGGAAGAACACTGGGGTATCTTGTTAGGGGACAGCTGCAGAGAAAGAAGCTAAGAGGAAGGGCGGGGATAAGGGCATGAAGATTCGAGAAAAAGTTAGAGGAGGGAAAAAGAAGTGAGCTGGCAAGGCTATGTTGGGAAGAGTTGAAGGGAAGGGAGAAAGAAGGGAGAGTTGGATCAAGCTGGGAACAAGAGAGAGAAAGTTTCTTTGAAGACAAAGGAGTGGGGTACCATAAACTATTTGGAGGAGATAAGGAGACGCAAAAGAAAGAGAGATGGGAGAGGATTGAGAAATCAGAATACAATAAGTAGTACAAGGTAATAAAAAGAGGGGGTATTCCGGGATATTTGAAAAAAGAATGGGGTGAGGGCATATGGAGAAGAGTGGCAAGGTTTAGATTAGGAAATGAGATGAGAGAGAGCAGGCACTGGAAAGGGGAAAAGAAAAAGAAATATAGATTGTGTGAATACAGGGAAAAAACGTGGGAACACGTATGGCAAAAATGTAAAAAATGGAAATCTGGAGAAGGAAGTTGGCAGGAAGCGGTGGGATGGGTATTGGATGAGGAAGGGGGGAGAGGAATGGATGATGAAAATAGAGGGGGAAAGAATGAAAGGAAAACGGGAGATAGAGGAACAAGGAGAAGGAATAGGGGAGAGGGAAAAGGAGAAAAAAGAGGCGGACGAGAAAGAGGGGAAAGAGAGGGAAGTAAAATAAAGGAGAAGGGAGTAATATAAGGAAACGAGGAGGAGAGAAAAGAGGAGAAGAAAGGAAGATTGGAAAGAAGAATAGAAGAAAGCAGGATGGCAAGGATGTCTGAGGAGGAAGAGATTTCGAGAGAGATAGAGGAGAAGCTTTCAATGGACTCGGACGAGAAAAAAAAGGACAGAAAAAAAACACAATAGGAGAAAAAGGGAGAATCGAGACATGAAAGAGGGAGGTAGAGAGACGCAGAGGCGGAGGAAGCGGAAGGGAGCAAGCAAAGGGGCGAAGTATCACGCAATAGTATAAAATATTATTATAAACACAAGAAGACGTGGCAACACCTCACTGTTGGTATTACTTTTAACTATTGGCTGCTCTGAACGCCCGAACGGTAGTAACCTTCATATCATTGACATACTAAGAAAAGTGGAGTTAGTAGTGAGGTTAAAAAAATATTAAAGTGTAATAAAAACTCATTTTTAAGGTATAAGGGCAAATGGACATCAGAGGCTGTATATAAACATCGACTGAAAATATCGAAACCCGGCAACGAAAAGGTAAAAAATCTGTAGTTATCAAGCGCGCAGTGCGACGTTGCCGTGTTTTGGGGTTGGATGCCAAGATTTGTGAGAGCGCTGCAGTTTTTATTTCTTTTTTTCAGAAACTAGTTAGTGAATCATCGTGAAATTTATTGAGAATCTGTGCCATTGTATCCTCTATACACCGTAACTTTTAAACGTGTTAGACAATTGATCGCAACATAGGTTTTTGGGATATACCTATAAGTGCATAATCTCTGTAAATTTCAGATTCATCCCTCTATTTTTTGACTTAAGCGATATACATCAAGGCGAAATTGCTATCTTTCCCGTAACGCACCTGTAACCCAGCCGATTGTACTTTCCTCCAGACACATTGCCCGAAATGAAAATGACAACCACTTATCTCAGCGTCCGGGAAGCATTTACCAAAAGCTGATGCAAGCTTCGATTCGAAATCGACCATGAGCCGACTTGGCTTCAAACGAGATTCAGCACTTTTCAAGAACGATAGTACTATAGCGTACGTCCTTTCTTGCTTATTAAAAGCTAAGACGTACACAAGCGGATAAATTTTACCCGACACGCAGCCATAAATGGTGTATAATTGAGCGAATAAAGTGAAAACACTTTTAAAGGTTTTCATCACCCAACCACAACAGAATCTTCAAGTTAAGTTTTCCACAGTACCAAAAATTAGACATCGATCTTTGCCAAGCTCTCGCCTGATTCAGAATTTAGCAACAGAAATAACGATTGCTCGAGATCGCTGTACCACCTGAGCCAGGGCAGAAGTAAACGGGAGTTCAGCAGCAGCATCGAAGGACACATTCAAAGTAACAGCAGCAATGACAGCACTCGTATTTTCATTCGATTGTACAGCTCGTTTCTTTAAACTTTTGACGGGTTTTCGTGCTTCAACTTTTGACGTCTTAGCGGCATGATTATGCTCCGTTTCGTCTAATATTTTTTCTATAATAGGTTTTTGCAATCATAATACCACAAAAAACGGTGCAAAAAAACACAATAAGCTGTTACGAATCAGAACGTGTCTTTGAGCTCGTATGAATTCGTCCACGGTAATTACTGTTTTTGTATTCTACGCAACGCCACGAAACATTCGATTTATTTTCACGAACGCTAGAATACACAAACTTATTGTGTACGAGAAGAGGATTTCCCTTCTGACTAGTTATAAATGGTAAAGTTGCAGATGTACTGCCTCACCCAAAAGTGGAATAAAAAAATCCGTTTTTGACGTATTTT